TGGAAGGTATTTTTGATGCACTAACTTCGTATAAGCGATTTTTGCTGACCCCCTTTCTCCACACCCTCCATTTAGCCTTCATAAAATGACTACAGTGAACCTAGAACCGATGGCCTCCACCCGTATCAACGGCCTCCAACCTACAGCCACTCTGTAACTTTTGTTAGAAAGACGCGGTCCTGTACCGACAAGAGCTGACGTAGCCAGCTGAAGATCCAGAGCCTTCAGGGGTTGGCCAACAAGTCAACAAAGTGGATTCTTGCTGCACCACACTGCACAAACATAAGAGCGAAAGCACAGGTGCAAAGATGTTATCCTGAAGGGCGAAGCAGTGGAGATTCATCGGGGCTACAAACCACACAAGGATGACCGAATTGTGACTCAGCTGACTTGCTATGACAGAAGACTTGAGAAACATGTGTATTTTGCATTATTTTACGTTTACTGTAATGTTATGTTTTAGTTTCATCAATCCAACACTTTGGCTTTTGCACTCAGAGGTCAGCGGAGACGTCGACATGTGGCAGAAGAGCAATGCGCAGATCGCATCTTGTTGAAGATCATGTGGCCGGATCCCATCGCCGGTGTAGGTGTCCCCCGTTAGGGGAAAAAAGCGCTCAAAGCGCTTCGGAAGGGACGCTTTGGGGGGAAGAGTTCGGAGAGACCGGAGAGAAGCCGCTCTAAGGAGGCCAAGTTGGACTCCCTCACCACGGTCGCCAGCTTGTCGCTTGGGCGAGAGGCGTAGATAGCAGATCGTTTCGAAGATCGCGATCGAAGAGCCCAAGATGGTGCCAAGTAACTGTCCAAGTGACCCTTGAGCCAACAAACGGACAACTGAGGCTGGACGAAGATGATATTTTTGTTTCGGATGACGTGGAGATGGTGAATCTGAATGTCTCAGCCGGCCTGAATGCTACGGCGGGTCTGAACGCTTCGCTTGCTCTTGGCGGGGATACGTGTCTTGGAGTGAACATTTAGTCAAGCCGAATGGCGGCACTTGGATTTGGCAAAGTTTGCTACAATCTTGGCATTAGGTAATTAGGTGTGATGATGCACTGCACTTGCTTTAAAGAATCTGATTGTCTTGGATCTCATTCTTTCATCCGTCTTTGGCACACGAGGACGTGCACCGGCGCAGCCTTAGAGGACAGCATTGGAGTAGACATGTAATTTGCATATGCCGCTGTTGTTCAGCACATGCTAATGTCCATTTTGTTGGCTCTGCGAGGCAGCAAAGGCGTCGTGTGCAGTCTTGAAGAAAGAAGAGACAGAGGTCGCGCAGCACTGCATGCAACAGTGCAGCATTGCTTCATGCGTAGCTGACCCAGGAAGAAGAGGAGGAGTTGGAAGAGGACAAGGAGGCTGCAGACACACAGGACGGCAACTCAGACGATGTCCAAGACCACAAGACTTGGATCGTTGCGATGATTGCAGAAAGCCATACACATATCAATACCTATGACAAAACCACAACTGTTCAAGTTGCAGGAATCAGCTTATGAGTCGTGATCTCAGACCATTTGCTGAGCCTAATGCAAAAATTAGCCCCACATTGCAAATCGCTGAAACTGCTCAGGGCTTGCATCGCAGACGCTTGCATGACTGCGAGCAATCAGTTTGGCGCGGCAGCGAAGGAGACGGAGGCCAGGTCCTCAGAGTTGTGTTAAACGGTTAAACGCGTTGAACTGCGTGTGATATACTTGAGGTTGCTCTCCAGTTTTACTTGGCAGTGTTAGCCAGCCATACACATGTAGAACATTGTAGAACCTAATTATATAGGTAGGTTAGGTACGCTACATGATTGAGTACGCCATGCTTGCAGGAAGAGAGTGAGATGCAAGCCGCTCTAAAGCATCAGAAGGTATCGGCCTCAGAGATTGTACCGTACCTGGCAAAGCTCAGTCAGAGCTTCTCGCTTGATTGCTGCGTAAGCTTGCAAGCCTCTCCTGTTGATTGACTTCCAGTATAGTTTTGTTCACTTGCATGTAGCAAACATGCATAAATTAACTAAGCAACAAGCAAGCAGGTTTGTGAATGACAAGCTGTTGCACAAGCAAAAAGTCTGTTCCGTTCCTGGTGGTGTTTACCTTGTTGATCTGAAGGAGTTCCGGACGGCCGCGGCAGATGGAGACTGCAAGACAGGCAAGAGCGCTCCGATCATGTGATTGGCCAAATACCGCTTTTTGTTACTAGTAGGAAGAATGCTCCTAGTAGCGATGCCAGGAGCCCCTAGTAGCGTCCTTGCTCCTAGTAGTAGGGCCAGGAGCCCCTAGTAGGTTCTTGTTTGTTTGTTCATTGAAATTTTTCCAGATTCCAAAGAGCTTTCGTCAGTTCTTGGAAGACAGACAGCCTTTCCCACCTCAGTTGCTTCCCAAGGGCCGCCCTGCCTGTGGGAATGTGGTGCTTTAAATGGTTTCAACTGACAGGCTGGACCGCCACTGATGGGGCCGACAATTTCTTATCTGATGATGAGAAGCGCCTTGGACTCCAAGAAGTGTGTGCTAAGGAAGAAGAGTTGACAGCATAATTATATAGGGCCGCACGGGCACTTCTAACTCTCTTTTCGGATGTTTTTGGTTTTCCTATGAGTCCTCTTACTGGCGGCCTAGCTGCCACATGAGCATGCGGCTCGCCGTGGCCCTAGCCGATGCGGCTGTCCCGAGGTCACGTGCCACACAAAAGAAGGATGCATGCACCGTGGCATGCAAAGTGTGCCGGCCACAGAGTGCCTCGGCAGAGTGCCGGACCTCGGATGGAACACGATCAAGCACCTGTGTCGGAAAAAAGATTGGTGCCGACTGTGTATATATATATATGTACATATATATATATATAGATTTATAGGTTATATAGTGGGTGAATGCTAATTGTTTCTTTTTGCATCGATGATCCATGATGATCCTCATAGCCAAGTCAACCGGTCGCTGTAAGAAGGACGGGCAGGTCATCCTTTCAATATGCTTCCTTTTTTTACACCCTGTTCTCCTTGAAATTTTCACTACAAAGTCCAAGCATCAGAAGGCATGCCCATCACAGACGACAAATGAAGTGCGCTGCAGCACATCACTGAACCGGAAACATTCCACCGACATACCGGAACCGGACCGAACACGATTCTACGACGCTGTCATTGTTCGTTAGTCGATTCGATGTGCCCTCAGAGTACAACTAAAAGTACTCCTCCTAGTCTTTTCCATAAAGGCGCGGCCGAAGAGACACATCTCACCTACTGAGATCGAAGATATTTGATTGGTCCATCAGTTCTCCACAACGAGACGCAGGAGGGCTGTTCAGAGAGGCTGCAATTTTAGAGAATTGTCTTAGTAGCTTCTTGTTACTAGTAGTATGAATGCTCCTAGTAGCGATGCCAGGAGCCCCTAGTAGCTTCTTGTTCCTATTGCTGGGAACATTCTGAGTAGCACTTCTTAGCAAAAAAAGGTACGCAGTTGCATAGCTGCGTGGGATTTGGCTTCTCAAGCTGTGGCACCAGGATGCTTGCAAAGCCCAGCAGCTGGCCATGCCCAAGACCGATGCTGACAAGATAAGGCTTTGGATCCTACAGAAGCAGTTCACCGAAGGTGAGAAGGGCTGGATTGGCCACTTGCCTCCGTTTTGGCCCCGTAGCATTATCGAGGAAAGCACAATGGGCCCCTCACTTTGACAGACACCCACTTTTCTATGTCTTTTCCACGCTGCGGCGTGCGGTGCAGTGCCTAACTCTGAGGTGGTAGCTTCAAGGATGCAGCTGGGCTGCAGCGCCGGGGGGGCCCACCCAAAGGGAGTTCGAACGTTCTGTTGGTAGAGAGAGATCATGCCGCATTCTTCTGAAAAGGGCTTGTACTATTCGCAAATCGCGTGGTCTTGTCCAACACAAACACGCTGCCCCTGGTGAGGGTGGCTGGAAATGGGGCGACAATGCAGCTGTTGAAGGAACGGCTGCCATAGCAGGCAATGCTGGTGGCTTGGTAGCATCAATGAATGCTGGCTGCTAGCTGTTTTTCTCATCAGATCACGACGTTCAAAATTGCCAAAGGCAACGTGACAAAGACCGTATTGTTTAATCAGAAATAATAGTGAATTGAAAGGGCAGGTGACCATTGGTTGAAGGATGTAATTCTCCAGTTATAGTGCCAGATGACTGTGCATCCGGAAGCAAGAGTGCACCCTCAGGCGATTACCTGTGCATGGACAGGGATGATGGCAACTTGATCAACTGCGAACACCGAAACTCAGCTTGTAGTCAAAAGGTACCAATTGACATCTCTGAGCACTGTTAGCCCCAGGCAAACATTTTGAACTACTGTAGATAGATATGATATGCCATACAAACATATACATCGAGCTATGTTATGTACTGCATATGTGTATATATGTATATCCATAGGTATTGTGATATGGTCCCCAAGCCTTGAATAGATGCCGCTTGCCGGGCGGATGGCTCCACCCGCCAGTTCCTCACCCCGAGTGAGCAAACATGTGAGGAGTTCGGCAGTTCCTCTCTAGGCGTGAGGATTTGCGAACAACCTGAGGAGCTGATGTGCGACATGATGCTCTTTGTGAGGCTGTTTACTATTAGGAGCGTGAGGACGGTTCTGTGTGGCTTAGTCTCGCCAAAGAGCGGCTTCACTAGAGTGATTCGCTCCAACTCGTTTCACGCAAACGTCGCGCAAAAGCTGGATGAGCGAGCGCAGTAGTGAGCGCAGTTTTGAGCTGGAATGGTAGGCGTTCATTCCAATTTCATCCATGGATGTTCGCAACCTAATGTCCTAGAGCCCTAGAGGAAAGACAAGATCAGACAAGTCTCTTTGGGGTGCTGGAGCTGTGAGAATGTGTTTGCTGTCAATGTTATATATAATTGTTTATCATGTGCCCCTTCTCAAAGTTCGCAGATGTTGACTCTACCTGTGAGCTGAGTTCGTCCCTAGGACGAAACTTGGATCGACGTTGCCAGACCATCGCGCGGTTCCAAGGAATGTAATCATGCACGGTAATAATGGAAAAACGTTCGAAGCGGACGGACACAGCACCTTTATTTCAGGCAAGAACACCTATGAGCCTATGTTACTTGCTCAGTTTCTTATCGAGGTCTTGATGACATGGTCGAGCAAGTTCTCAGGGGCATGGGCAGTTTTCGTCTCAGGAACATGAATTCCTTGAAGGAAATGATGAAAATGGACTACATTCGATGAAGAGGGTTTGCTTGCTTTCGTGACATGGCCGACACCTCTATACGGATCATACCGCCTCATGCTCGCGGGTCTTGGACCTGAACTCCTGGTATGAACATGTATGAACGAGGAGGTTTTTGCAGGCTGATAGCGCATGTACACCCAGAACCACTCAGTACAATGCACAGAGCTTGCAAGTGCAAGTTGCGCGATGTGCATCAACGTGACGTCCTAGAGCTGTCCAATGACCCAGGTTCAGGCGCCTGGTCGGATCTACCCGGAGATGCTGGGAGCCCGGCCGCTGTTTTGGACGCTTTCTGGGGGGAGAAAACCATGACCTGCGAGGACTGCCGAGCCGAAAGCTGAGTGGGACTATTGGGACTTGGAGAGCCCCGGGACTTGGGATGTTGCATGGTTTCAGCGCTGCCCTTGTTACGTACTAGTAATGCCAGCTTCTTGCTCCTAGTAGCGACGCCCCTTGTTAATTACTAGGATTCTAAAATGGTTGCGACAGGTTGGGTGTAACTGCGAAGAGGCACTGTACAGCGGGGTCCTTAGCTGAATGCTTTTCGACCACCAAGAGAAGCAAGCTGCCTCTGTGCTTGGCTCACGCAAGTCCTCAGGCAAGAAGGCAACAAGTCCCGAGCACTTGGAACTGGCAGCTGGCTGAGATGGGCCTTTCTCCTCCTTTTCTTGCCACTCCCATGGGTCTTGTTTTCGGGCGTCAGAGAAGCATCGTAGGAGACCTTTCGATCAGCGATCGGATGGATTTCATTCCGTGCCGGCACCGCGGGTTCCAAATCTGCACCGCACCAATACACCAATATCCCCCCAGCCCTGGATATCGGCGTATCATTCGAGAAAACATCGTAGTTCCGCAAAAATGCTCAGGCGAGGAACATCGCCGCTCAAGGGGCCGTGTGGCACTTGGGCCACGCACGTTGGATGTTTGCTCTCCCGGCGATACTCGTCACGTCATGTTGTCCAAGGTCTTGTTGAAGAATGAGCATTCAAGTGGCAGTCATCTCAGCATGGTTTGCATTGTTTGTTTGTGTTGTCGTCTTCCCGCATGTGTCTTTTTTTGCTTGAAAGCGGCGTCTCATCGCCATTCCCATCGTTTCCCCTCGTTGAGGAAAGCCCGTTCTCCCCTTGTCCTTGGATCAGAAGGTGGCCGTGATCGGTGAGGCACCGGTGGACACTGTGACACCGGGCCTGCCTGTGACACCTGGCCGGCTGCGGGAGGCTTGCGTCCTCAAGGTCGATGTGACCGATCAGGAGGAGGCACGCCAATGGTCACATATGGATATATATATATAATATATATTATTACTGATACTACATATTACATTTAAAACACATTTATTATTTGTTAAATATACTATATTACTGCAACTATATAGAATATAGAGATATTTGGCAAATCATGATCAATTATTGACAGTGGTTTCCGGGCCTTCTGGGTTGTGAGGGTGTCCAAATTCAAGCTGGGAAAAAGTTTGCATCAGACAAGAAAACTCAGCACCAAGCGGGTTCAGGATATATATATATAATATATGGAGAGAGAGAGAGAGTTGCACATATTCTTGGTGTTCAGATGTGTTCAGAGGTTTGGACTGCTGGGTCCTACTATGGGATTGGTGGCACGAGCCGGGCCAGGGCCCTGGCCGTTGGTTGAATTTGTGTATCCAGTTCAAATGTGGATGCCTAGGTTCTGTCTCCCGATGACATTTCGATACTCGATGGCATGCCCGTTCCTTACAAAGCTCAACCGCTAAGCCCAACAATGCCAGATTCTCTAGGAGGAAAAATGGCAATCTCAAGCCAGTTCTTTTCGAGGCGGCGCTACACAGAGAACCTTGTAAGAAGTTGAGACCTCAAGCTTCATGTCAACACTAGCTGAGGTGCCACACCATGTTCTCACATGTTTCTTTGTTCTTCTCCCAGGCCCAACAGACCTGACGGGCTTTGCCCGAAAAGCCATGCAAGGCCCGTCTGAACAGCCATGCCGACTGACGTGAACCACTTGTGACATGTGTGTCCACACTACAAAATGTAGACTCTTGATGAATACACTACCCCACTTGAATTGAACATCCTCTTCAAAGGGGAGTTTTATGAATCAAAAGTCTACATTAGTCAAATTGTTTGGCTTAATATACAATGCTGACCTTTGTTCTGAAGGCACGCAGTTTGACAGTCATTGCAAGTCCACGTGTTCTCCACACACTCATTGCGGTGAGGCTCTGATGTGGCAGTGGTTTGCGCAGGTGCGCAGTTGGAGAGTTAGGCTCACCTACACCTTGTTTGCCACTGCAGGGATGTCGACTCGTTCTGCAGGCACCACGGCCACAGAATCGGTGGACCGAAGGACGTTACGCTCGTGGCTCAGCCACCGAACGGAGCGCTGGATGTGTGTTGTGTCGAGTTTCAGGCTTGGACCAGGATGCATTGGTTGGGGAGGCCAGCTGCGGTGCACTTCCTCTTGTTTTTGACCTGTTTCTTGTAATAAGTCCATAGGACTCGAGACATGATCACACAATTATAACTGCAACCATGTTGATAGTTTTATCCCAATTTAGACAATCTTTTTGACGAGTAAGTATTATATAAGTGGGTGAAAAGGGGCAAGTATATTCTACCATCTTCTATTACATCTATCTATCTATCACTATCTATCTATCTATCTATCTATCTATCTATCTATCTATCTCTCTCTATATATATATATCTATATATTTATCTATCTATCTCTTTGACACACTGGTTGATTGTCCTTGGTGCAGGTGGTTCGGTTGGGTGTGGAGCTCAAGGTGCCCGTGGTGGTCATTGCACTGGCCCCTGGTGCTGTGGTCATGCCCTGGAGCCTCTCGGCATCTCAAACAGCCAAGTGACAATCACAAAAAGCACCGACTCACTGTGCTGACTTCATTCGTTGTGGTTCCGAGGTGCGGAGGCCACTGGGATCTTGATGATGTTCCCTTCTGGCACGGCGTCTCAGGTCTGGGGGGGAGGAACACGGCTGACACGTCCAGTCCAAGGCCAGATGACAGGCCTTGCAGCAGCTGACCTCTTGTGAGATGCTCGGTGTGGCGGAAGCGAAGCTAACGTAAGCTTTGTTCTCTCCCTCTTTGGGCCGAGAAAGGAGAGAGATGTATTCATAGATATGGTGTTTCGAAACTCCGAAACTGACCTTGAGGTTTGGTGCCAGAATGCCTGCTGGAAAGCTTCCGCTCACCATTCCCCAAGAGGAGTCCGATGCCTTGCCGGGAAGCCTAGGGGAAAAAGGTGGAACTCCAAAAGGCCCTGAAGATCCTGCAGGTCAGCTGGACCCCATTTTTAGGACCTGAAGATCCTGCAGGTTTGGTGTGAGTCCATGTTTGGTGTGTCAAAAGGCCCCGAAGATCCTGCTCATTTACCGGTGGATCACACCAAACATGCTACGAACATGAGGTTTTTAGGACCAGATGTTCAAGACACATCTTTGGACCTGTAAGGATTTGACCAACGTGGGGATTTGACGTGATGGATGTAGCGGGGTGATGGTGTCAGACTCGACTTGGCCGAGGAGACCATGTGCGGAGAGGAATTGCCCCTACCAGGCTCGGAGAGAAGCAATTTCAATGCCGCAACAGTCCTCGAGTTGGGAGACGTGGTTGTCTTTCATGCGCTTCATGCTTAAGCATGCTTAAGCTACTCTCTCCTGGTCGCTCTTCATGGCACAAGGAACAGCTGTTTTCGGGCTGGCTCCTCTACACCAGCGGGGACCTCGGGATCAAAGCTGACGTCCCAAGCACGTTGCGTGACCTCTCCAGGTCGTGACGTTGCGTTTCCTTTCGGCTACGGTCTTAGCTACACGTGGCTTGGTTGCAGACAGCTCATTCCAAGGATGTGTGAGAAAGCAAAGGCACACAAATCATGATGGATTTACCATCACCGAGCTTGACTCCTGAAACAGCTTGCCGTTCGAAGGACCTTTGAGTACAAGCCCACCAAGCTGCATGACCCTCAAGATTCGCCAAATGTGCTTGAAACGCCTTCCTCCACACATTCAAGGACGCTACTAGGTTGGAGGCCATTATACACTACTAGTAACAAGAAGTAACAAGGTGCACCGCTACTAGTAGCAAGGACGTTACTAGTTGATTTCAGGTTGGGGCCCACGGAGGTTGGAAGCGTCCATGTCACCATCAAAAATGCTTCGAGCCTCAGAATGCTTGCATGTTGTAGCTATGCCTACGCCATCTTACACCCAAGTGTTTGCAAAGCCATATTATATTTGATCAATCATCGCGGTGATGCAGCCTTGGCAGCACCCCATTCACCGTCGCAGGTTGGCCAAAAGCCTGGGAGAGAGATCGTACAACTCTACATGAGTGTAGCTGGCGGAACTTGTGCAAAGCATGTCACATCAAGCCATGTCACATTCCATATCATGCCGAATGTCGCACATACTCCACAGCTGTAGTCACTATGTTTGCCAAGGTATGCACGTATGCACAAACAAAAACAACTTCACAGTGTGATGTCTCAAATCATCTCTCTCGCCAGGATATCCCAGCAGTGTGCCTGACATCCAAGAGGTTCCAGCCTGTTGCGCATCCAACGCCATGGAATCACGAAAGGTAGAGGTAGTGTCAGCGACCTGAGTTCAATTAGCTTTAGCTATTGGGGGGGTATCCTCCCACGAGCCATGAATAGCCATGATGTTAGGTCATGAGTGGCGATTGCTTCAACTAACCCCTGGTACGGTTCAATTTCCCTTCGATTGTGCAGGGGCCTGGTCCGATCGTATCGCTTGTCGTGTTATGGATGTACTTACTCACCTTCACCCACTTCATTCCTACTCCTTTTGTGTTCCCACTCATGTTCATCCTGTACCTGTGACTGGCTTGCAATGTCCCTCCCCATGCTTTTGCTTGACCTCATGGTTTGCTGCTGCTGGTTTGCTGGCTGCTGCGGTGCTGCTGCCGTTTTCCCACAAGTGGTACACATACATGAGACATACACCTGCAACTTTACTTTCGCTCCCTGCCTTCCCTGCCTACCTTTCATCCACCCAACTTGGCCGCTAGTTCAACAAGACAAAGTGTTGGGATGTGGAAGCAGTTCCGAGGTGGTCCAGTGGTAGGAAGGTCCACCGACCCAAAAGTGCACCGACCCGCCACTCGTTTGGGTCTCGGACCGTGAACGTCTCAAGACTTGGCTCCAGGAGCCTGCAACGCAGCTACGTCGCTTCCACCGAACTCGAGAACTTCAACCAGGGGAGGCGATGTGGATCGAAAATGATCGAATTGCTGTGTAACTTGATGTGGGTTCCGTTTGGTGGCCTTGTGTTGGATGTCAATTGTAACCCTCGACAAATCTGTCGGAGGTAAGGAGAAAGCACTTGCATTGGGAAATCCAACCCCCCGTGAAATGTTGGTCCAGCACTTCCAGTTGCCTTAGAAGTTATGGTCCATTTGGAAGGCAGAAGATGTTGTTCTCAAGCTGAGCGGGGAACTTGGACAGCGGTCGAGTCCTCCACTTCGCTGACAGCGGCCGAGTCCACTGTCGCCCGCCTTTGAGGTGCCCGTGACATGTCGGTGAAAGCCTTAGTCATGGTACGGGACACGTGAGATCAGTGAATGGCTTGGCCATGCTTGGCCCACATGAACTTGGCATAACTTGGCCATTGACCGAGATCTGGGACAAGACTGTTTCAGATTGGATGACGGTCTATGGCAGCTTCAAGGTCATGACCTTGGAATCACCAGCGGTTTGCATGTGGAGTGGGATTCTGTGGAGCCAGTTGGAGCCAGTTCAGCCAGTTCATGGGATGCAATCAGGTTGGGGTTGGTGCATCCTCGCGTGACTTGCGCACGTTGCCTAGTCTGTCCATTCGCACGTGTGACATGGTCATGGTGTTCAGCATCCTCTCTCAAGGTCTTTGCAGCACCTTTGTGCACCAGAAAGATGTTTCTGAAGCGGAAGTGAACCCCTCAGTGAAGCGGAACTGTTACCTGTGGCTCCCGTCGTGAAGTCTGCTGCTGGGCATCAGCATGCATCAGCTTCAGGTATCTTTAGAGCCTTGCCGCTGGAGCGATGTGCTCTCTTCATGACTTCTTCCAGGTGGGAAAGGCAGAAAGTACATGGAAGCATCGTAAGATGCACCGAAAGAACTCCAAGAGAACCCCAAACACCAGGAGTGCACAAGAAAAACGATGAAACACACGCTTTGATATGACACATAAATGATAACACCTAAAAAAGGGCACCCTTTCCAGCCGGTGCCTTTCGGTTTGACGACCCCGTTGGATCCAACGTCGCCGCGAGGGCCGACGGATGCCGAAGGTGACTGGCCCGAGAAAAGAACCGGCTTGAGGTGGAGATCCGTGGAAAGAATCTGATTTAAACGGAAAAACACGGGGAAAAAAAAAACAAACAAATGCTGTAAACATCTTCAAACTGCTTAAATCTCCCTTGCCGGCTTCCAAGTTGTAGATCGGCTGAATTCATTTTGGACTTCCAAGGGAGGGGCCAAAGCTGACCTCATGTCTCACCCGCGCTGCAGGCCTTGGATCTGGCTTAGGATGGATCAGGTCCCACAATTTGTAGCAGGTGCCGATTCTTTACAAGCACATTGCATTGCTACGAACGGGGCTCCTGGCATCGCTACAAACGGAGCGATCGGACGCTACGAACGCGGCTCCTGGCCTTGCTACTCGACTTGTTCTCTAACATGCCAATAGATCATTGGAGTTGGATCGTTGGAGCGCGAGATCGCCAAATCGGTGACGGTTAACATATCCGGACCATAGATCTTTGGCGCTGCAAGGGGTACCAATGCAGTGCATCCAGAAAGGTGCTGGAAAGATCACGTAGCAGCACAAGTTGCGGGGTTCTCCTCAGTGGCCGAGGAATCCAAATGGATGGAATTTATATACTTTACTTGACTTGTTGTTGGTGGCATTTGCAGCAATCATTGCTCACATGAGCCCTCACATCCAAATTCACTGCAGCGGCTCCAGCACCTGCAGTCCGCCTGCTTCGGTTTTTGAAAGACATGGCCTTGACGCTTTCGACCAGGTCGGCACCCGTCGGGTGGATGCGCGATGCGACGTCCGCGCCGTGAAAAGGACCCCGCCCCGAGTCCGCTCCGCTTGCAGGCCGAGTCCTTTCCCGGCCGTTCTCCACGGTGTGGACCTCGGAGGGAGTTGACGGTGAGCCATCAACATTTCGGACAGCATCCATAGCAATAGCAGAAACCAGGTAACGTATTTATCAAGCATGGTATCAAACATTAATATTCAAGTAAGTGTAGGTCGTGTTTTCAGATAAAAAGGTCGTCAGCCAGCATGAACTTGCGTATTGTATATAATATATATATATATATGGTACCCCCCCCCGGGACCTACCCTTTTGTACTTTTCAGCGGTATTTATGGTGAATTATGCACATTTTGACATTGATTTTTGGGTACAAGTTTTAGCTGTCGGCTCTGAAACCGCGCCAGTAGTGGTTTGGGTTTGGGTTCGGGTGGGGCCTATTAACGTTCTTGTCAATGCACTTTCTACACTTATGCTACGCTTGCTCTCTGCTGTGTCTCTGATCTTACGTTGGCAGCTAGCACATAGTCTCTAGTGCATGTTAGACTATAATGGCTTGGAATGTTCTTTCAAAAATGGCTTTGGGTTGATATACGATGATCTGGATTTCTGTGACTTGGAAATATAAGGTGGTAGTGACTCTCACTTTTCGGAAGCACATGTTGCGATCCACACCTGTTGCTTCCCATCTCATATGTTTTTCGGTTCAGGTGATTCGGGGGGCTGGATCACTCTAAACATGTCAAGTATCATATGGTTCACTCATGGCTGACATTGTCAGTATTGTTGGGAAAATGATTACCATCCGTGCATGTCGATGATTGTTTCTGACTGCCTAGACTTTTCCCATTGGGAATTTGTGGTAACTCTTGTTATTGCTTCAACACGTTCCGACAGCAATCGCTTTGCACGGGAATCATGCCATGAAAGCAGTTTTCGTTTGGCAGTGAGTTTGATTTGGCTGCTTTGCTTAGCCGAGCATCCTGGCTTGCCTTCTACTCTGGCCGGTCGTGACACACGGTATTGGGACGATCTGGCCGATGCCACTTGGAACCTGTTTAGTGGTTTTGTCATTTTCGGTCATACGCCCACAGTGGTGTTCATGTCGCTATCACGGTTCTACTGGGATTCTCTTTGGACAGACAAGACAGACTCTCATGGCAGGGGTGGTGGGGTCAATTTTGGTCAGGTTCTGTTGAGATTACCCACAGGCGATGGCCTCTGGGCTGTGCAAGACATTGTCGCCAACAGCATCGGCGGCATGAAGCCTTACGTTCTTTGTCTTTGGCTTCCTTGGTTGGTGCGCTGGTGGCTTGACAAGGCCCAAGAGTTGGACCCACAGAACCATCGTTTTGTGTTCTCTTTGACCATACACATTTTGTCGAAGAGGTGGTGCGCCTACTCTGCACGTCGTGTACGCACTCAATCCTTTTGTCGTGTGTTCTGGCATGGTATCTTCGATGACTCGGCAAGCGCTTTCTTTTGGCAGTCTGTTCCACAGCACTCTTTGTGTCTTTCGGAGTTGCATTCACACGCACTGGACGCTGCTCAGGACAACCATGACACTGTCACAGACGAAGAAGCTAGTCAGTTTTCTTGGCCGGACCTCTCCGACACTCCTGAGTATAGAGAGTACAAGCTTTTGGGCCTGCGCGAAAGAGAGACGAAAACAGTCAATGAGATGGTGGCAGATCTTCTCAACACCACTGTCTCAGATTTGCCGACCGGTCCTGCAATGCAATCAGAAGTTAGCCTTTCCAGACCAGAGCCTTCCGAGAATGATACCTCTAGTGAGTTTTCCTGGCCCAATGAGTTTGACTCACCGCCGCATCGTCGTTGGAAACTGGAGCAAATGGGGTCTGCGAGCGATGGATTTCCTACAGAATGTCCTGACCTCCAGACGCCCGCAGATGAGACTGCAGAGACTCCGCCAACTGCTGGCAGCAAGCGAAAGTTCAAGTGGGGGTCTTGAAAGGTGGTAAGCCACCTCCAGAAAGCCGTCACCGTTTGGATCAGTGCAAAGGATTTGATCAGCTGACTCCCAGATGTGTCGTGCTTACAGATGGAGCACCGGTCTACCCCAAGATTTGCAAAGACTATAAAGTCAAGCACTTTTCCTGCAACCACTCGCAGGGAATTTTTATATAATATTCGTCGTCGTATCGGAGGAAAGACGATTGATATTCACACAGGCGGCATCGGCCTGTGGCGTCTCATGAAGGAAGGTGTGCCCCATGCTTTGTCCAGTAAGAAGACCGCAGCCATCATGCGCTGTGTGCGTCAATGGCCATGGCGTTGGAACTGCGGTAACAACAACCTGGCTTTTAAGTTGGGCACGCAGTTGAACCAACGGTGACGCAAGAGGTCGCGCGCAAAAAATGGCCCGAAACCCTGTGTTTTTGCAAATCCATGTCAAAAATGGTCACCATGTTTGACAGTGATTTACAGATGATTCTTGATCAGACCACAAAAAGATGTGATTTCGCCTTGGCGAAAACCCTTTTTTTGCATGCAACCCAAAGGTCCTGGATCTTGAAATTTGCACGACTACGTGCGCGGAAAGAGAGCCGCCGGGAAGTTTTAGATCATTTTTTGGTTGAAGGGATTGCGGGGTGCCATTATTGACACAATAAGAAAGGAAACAGTGGTCAATGAAGACCTCTTGGGTGGAAACCAGATGATAATAACAACAAAAGTTGCGCAACATGTTGCGCAACAAACTAAAATCCTAAGATTTCAGCACTAGTCCAAACCTTGACTTCATTGTTGTAGTCTGGAAATCTTAGGATTTTAGGATTTTAAGGTAGTTTGTTGCGCAAAATGTTGCACAGATCTGGGTGGTGGATACAGAGAAGAGCATTTGCTTTGGCAAAGATCGGCAATGGGTAGACATCGAGGCCGACGAAGCTACCTTTGATCGCCAGGTGGTCGGTCAGCAAGTCACCAAGCCCAATGGGAACAATGGTGCGGCATTGTGCAGCGAGGAAAGCCATCCACGTTGGTCTTGCGCCGACTGAAGCCTCCACCTGCAAAGCTGAGGGCACCAGGCCCTGGCGCCGTGCAGAAAGTCGAGTGGGAGCCCCTGGCCAAGAAGTGGCTACAAAATCGACAGGTGATTTTGCACAGACTCGGCTAAGAGCTACAAAACTGCCGTGCCGGATGTGCTTCACGACCGTGTCGTCCACAAAAAACAGCGTGTCAAGGCTGGAAATACATTCTGCTGGCTGGCACCCAAATATGTAGAGCTCAAATCTCACAAACTGCCAGGACCGAAAAAGATTCTCAAGGTCAAAACTGGCACACAGATCACTGACCGATGTTGGCGGTTTCTTAAGGAACGGCTGCATGTAAACCAGAACAGCCGTGTGGGTAGCCGTACGCTGACAATGCAGCTGCGGGGTGCACAGTATGAGTACTGGCATAGAAACCAGGACCTTTGGATCAGCCCCGGGAAGCTGATCCAATGGTTCCTAAAGTAAACCACTTTGCATCTGCAAGGCGAAAAAATGGTCCGCAACTTTCCTTGCACATCTCCACATTTCATATCAAACACATCTGCTCAAACAAATCATCTGACCAAACACATTTCAAATGGTCCACATCTGGTCAAACACATAAAAGGTAGGTCCCGGGGGTATATATATATATGTGTGTTTGCTTTGAGCTTCCTTCCTTTCGCTATTTTTTGCATCCATTCCGTCCAAAAACACATGGGTTCTTTGTGTCCATGCTTTTCGGCTCAGCTGCCCTTCTCTGGGCGGTTCAAGTGTTTCATGTTTTGTGAAAGCCAACGCCACGATGGCGAACTGCTTACGAAAATTATGCATCTCGCCTTGTTTTATAGAGATGGTCATGTGATTTCAACACCACAGGTGACATGTTGCTGCCAGTGATGTCCGGTCCCAGTGTGCATATTCAGAACATATTGATGTTGCACTCGATGTTGCACCGTTCTTTTTGGGAACAAAGCATGACACTGTGCCGTTCATTTGGGGTTCCAGCATGTTCCGCCATCAACTCGGTTTGTCACTACTTTTGCGACGGACCTTGGCGTGCAACGGAGGTAGCTTTATCCTTCCATTCCTCGCCGCCAGTGCGACGGTCCATGAAAAAACAGATCGAGAGATCGGCCAACATGATCACCTCTACATGGAGGCGATCAACAAGATCCGGGCTTCCACGGATTCATAGCTCTTTTGGACGGACTTCTTTGGGCAGCTTTCCCCCAAAAAAGTCTTCCCGAACTACTGGGGCGACGAGTTTGGAATTTCGTCAAGCGATGTGTGGATGCTTTCGGTCAGGTGGACAGCGCAGGGAGCACCCAGAAGAGTCCCTCCTCGGACAAGAACATCAAGGACCGGACGCGTTGACAGTGCGGACTTGGTTTGTTCTTGGACTCGGAGATTGCCATGTTTTTGTTCCGCAGGAGAGGGGAGCAGAACATTCCAGACTTGCATCGGAGACATGAAGGAATTGAGAGAAACGAGTCAAAGGAACAAGTGCATCAACCCAAATGGTATAGGCAACCCTCCAAATGCTTCCAAATGCGAGAAGTGGTTGTGTTGTTTGCCTTTTTCATGTTTTGCCGAGTCACACTCAGCTGAGGGAGCCTCATTGGCAGAATCTTGGCTGCACTTCAGGCCTTCAGGGTGCTAGGACCACTTGGATGCAAGCAGATGTGTTTTGATTCCAGGTCGTTGGTTGCCAGGTGCTGTTCATTTGGGGTAAGTGGGAATGCTGCTGCGATCGCTGGTCCTTGTACAGCCGTGACTAGGAGTGACATTTGAGCTCAAAAGTGTTGACCAAGGAGATGGAGACGCGGCAGACCTTGACAAGGTGCCTCGGCCTTTCATTTAACACCAGCTCATTAGGATCACTAGGCCAGAAAGAACGACAATGGATTGTAACGGGTTGTTGAATGCATCAAGATGTGAGGTTGAAATATTTGCCACAGTATCCTACTGGCCCTGCTACTTGCGATGGGAGTCAGTGGCTTGGCGGCAACATTGATTGAACAAACGGTGTTTCACCATGTTTCACCAAATGGCAGAGATCTTAGAGAAGTGTCACGCGAGATCTTGCGGCAGTTTCATACTTGAGAGTGCTGCGTCATGCTTGTGTTGCAGGTTAGCGTGCCCTGGTCAGCACAACAGTTTCAGAGTCAATGTGCCAAAGCGTGAACCACAATCAACGAGAACGATCGCTCGTCGAGCCCAGTGGCTTGCGGCGGCCTAGGTGTCCAGCTGATGGCAGCCACTAAGCTGCAGTTATTTTCCATTATTTTCCAAGCCATGAGTGTACCCATCACCTTCATGGCCCGATGGATGTTGAAGTCATTCACCAGACTAAACTATCAGCTGCTGAGCCACATCACGCGACTAATGTTCTGAGATACAGAGACGGACGCAGCGTTTCTGATCGCAAGACTCCCCGCCTTCAGGTGTCGACCCATGTTCCACGCTGAAAAATTGCAGCACCGGCGGTTTCCATTTGTTCTGGCAGCTTGAAGGCTGGAGTTGGCTTCTAACGTCTCATGTTTTCACATCCAAAAGTGCCCCCATGTGCCCCCGGTTCTTCCCATGTCATGTCGTCTACCGACAGATCTGCTTGCCAAACAAAGAGACACTGAAGTGCGAAAGTGGCGTGCCTCGTCCGCAGAATGGGCTGTGGAGCGATCGAAAGTAGGGCCACTTCCGATTGGTGGCTGGTTGCGGTGCGGTGTTGCATACGTATCACAAGATTCACAGGAGAATGCCCGAGCTAAGGACGACTGTTTGTTGCGCTGCACAGGCAAGCTGGCCGAGGACAAAGAATTTGCGAAGCCCTTGGTAGTTGTAAGAGGTTTGATTGCTGTGCCTTGCAGGAAAGTGATGGTAGCTTGAAGAAGTGCAAGGAGTTGACGGAGGACAAGTGCAACGGATATTATGACCCTCGGCTATAGCGGCTAGGAACCTTTCTGTGATGTTGCATGTGCTAATCAAATGTTTTCAAACAGTGTGGCATCATCCGGGTAGCTGTAGGCTGCTGATCCTGACTACCTCAAGAATGGCATAGGTGCGTGAGCACATCCGAGTTGTGCATCATCCCAACGCCTGCCGCGCGTCACGCATTCGCGCCCTGCAGGCTACGAATGCGTTTTGAGGGAAGATCGCACTTGTGGAGTGGAAACAACTTGTGGGGTGCAGAATCCGCCCGAAAGTTTGGGGGAGCAGCAATGCTTTGCCACGCTCTCAGTCAAATTGAGAACAACGGCAATGTGAGCTTGCAAGTCTTCGTGTTGGGATGTTTGAGCTTTGCAAGTAACAAGAAGTTACTAGGAACAAAGGGCAACGCTACTAGGAGCAAGAAGCTACTAGTACTCGTAGCTGGCATTACTACTAGTAACAAGAAGCTACTAAGTAGCTAGAAGCCACTAGGTGGAGGCCATTGCTATTGATAGGTTGGGGGCCATCGCTACTAGTAACCAGAAGCTCCTTAAGCTCCAGTGGGCTCAACCTCAAATGGAGAATTTCACGGAACTGTCGTTTTTGCGTGGCCTAGGCCCCAGAAGTCTACAGAGGAGCTTCCAATGGCACTTGCCAGACCAAGCGAATCCGCCCAGGAAAAGACTGCCAGACCAAGTGTTCAGCAGGCGTGGGCGGTGTGGGGTGTGTGTGCTGGGCTCAACGAAGCCGTCCGGTGAAGGTTTTACTCCTTCGACGGAGACCTTGAAATGCCAAGATGGTGGTGTCTTCGAGCCGAAGCTCGGTTACAGATCTCAGCGATTCGGTTCATCCCAGTGTCTCACAAGAACATGAACAAGAGAGGTGACTGATGTCCAGGTCAGAAGATCTACTGTATATATACATAGAATAAGGTTGGCGATCGCATGGTACCATCAAGCACTTGCAGGGCGTCGTGCCGTTGTGGGAGCTATTTAGACTCCAACTCCTTGCAGAGGGGCATGAGTGAGGATAAGCTCCTAGTAGCGTCGTTTGCTCCTAGTAGTAAGGCCAGGAGCTCTTAGTAGCGTCCTTTGCTCCTAGTAGCGATGCCAGGAGCCCCTAGTAGCGTCCTTGTTACTAGTAGTGGGGATAAGAGTCTTGGAGCTAAGGACCACCTTCTCCTGCATCGCGAACCCTTGCAGAGTGAAGCAGGTGGAGAACGCCTTGAACAGCGGCTGCAAGGACTTCATCCGACGTGATGTTTCACCTGATGTTGTGAGGAACAGATCCAAACGTTACTTTAAACTCCTTCCCTGGAACCAACATGGGGGTAAAAAAACACCCTGCTTGTGGAGGGAAAATGTTTTTCCAGGGGCCATTGTCCACTTCCATTTTCGTTTGGATGGAGGGTACGGCAATTTATAGCAGTCTTTGTACCATATCACTGCCATGTATACACCTCCCTGCACTTATGTGCTCTTGACCCTGAATGCAGGAGGGCCCCGAGGAGGGAGAGGCTGTGATTGAGTCTGGCTTGGTTTGCACTACCCAGTGCAAGGCGCTGCACATGCACATGTTGTTGACCAATCTCTTTTGGTTTAAATGTCAATTTGGAAATGCTGCTTATTTTACCTCTCAACATGTCACAGGAAGGCTTCTACCAGTCAGATGATGTCCTGCGCTGCCATGCAGAGACGTCCTGAGCTGAGAAGAAAAGACTTCACAAATGCTGGGCCGAGACAGGACAAATGCCGGACATCATGGTGATTGTTCCTCCCTCTTCTAGAGTAGCGCGGTGAAGGAGAGAGGAGAAGATGTCTTCGTGACGCATGCATGTTTGGTTGGACTACACCTATTTCGAAGTTAGCGGTTGCCTTGTGGGGGGAGGGCATCGATTCTTTGAGTGAAAATCTTGAGGCTTTCGCCTGCAACATTTACCTGCGAAGCCACATGCGCCGTGCCAAGCGTGTCCAATGCAGCTGCAGGTGGTATTTGCAAGGAGGCTGGGACGGACCTCCACTGCATCCCGCCTAGACTCGAGCTGTTTTGGTCGTCTTGTGTTGAGTGTTTTCGGCTGCAGTAGCCACGGCAGTCTTGTGAGGGCAAGGACCAAATCATGCCATTTACGAGCTGTACCACCCAATGTGCAACTGGCTACACTCCTTCGGTGGAGAAACTGCACCTTGGCGTGGAAATGGAGGCACGCTCACTCTTGTGTTCAAGGTGTACAGGTGTCGAAGACACCAAGCGATGGTCTCCAACCTAGCGATGGCCTCCAACCTACTAGCTGGACTCCATAGTAATAGCGATGGCCTCCACTTGTATCCTGAGGAGCTGCCGCAATGGGGCTTTCACCCCAGGATCAATCCAGTGCAATCCTGATCCATGCGATGCGCCAACAGGAGTTCCTGGTTCGCAGCGCCTTTCAGTCCTTCCGTCGTGAAGTCTCATTTTCGCCCGTTCCAGTCCACCGTTTGACCGGCCAAGGTGGAGTTTGGACGCACTAAGGGACCATGCCAGGAGGGCTGGACTCTAACTTCAGGGCACCTTGGCAAGATGTGTGGTGTGTGTATGTGTGCGACTGATCTTCAGTTTTTTGTCATACTTTGTTCAGCTAGTTTTAAGACTTTTTTGCGGAGCTTCAGCAAAGGTCTGCGTGCACCACTCAATGCAGGGTCTCTTGTCTGGATTTATACCATATACTCTCACAAATGCTCCGTCATGGCATGGGCCCGCGTTAGTCGTATTTCAATCGATTTTCAAGCGCACCTAGGGTTTGTGGAAGTTTTGAGGCCGGGTATACACCGTCTATCGCTTCATTGGCCTGTAATGCTGGCACCTTGGCTCCAGCACCTTGGTCCTTCATGGTCCTTCTCGGACAGTGAACTCTGACTTTCTGAATCCAAAGCTCTCGTTTCCACTAGAGTCACTGGAAGGTCTAGAAGGTGCTAACTCTACCCTTTTGAATGTGTTTTGCTTCACACTTGCCTTTGCTTCCTAGTTGTTTTTTGCGACTGGCGTTTCTCTTCCGCAAGTCAGGCGACTTTCCAGTGCGTACCCAACCCATGTCCGATACCAACGGTCAAGAACCGTCTTGGGAACGGCTGCCGTGGGGTTGCTGGAAGCAGCGTCGAGTCGGGAAAGTCTTGCAAAGCCAGCTGCAAAAGTGGCTACACGCCATCAGTGAAGCAATTGGATTGCTATGCTGAGACCTTGACACCAGAGACCTTTGTATGCGAACCCAATCCATGTTCCATCCCAGTCGACTCGAACCAAGAGGGGAGTGGCTGCTTGGGTGTGCCTGGCCAAAAGGATGGGACGGTGATTGAACATGGTGAGACGTGCCAAAGTGAATGCAAAGAAGGCTATCACCCATCAGTGGAGAGCATGAGTTGCAGCCTTGGCACCCTTTCACCTGCCAAGTGGAGCTGCATTGAGGATGCATATCCAGCTGTTGAAGGCGTTGCCAATGCTCCCAAAGTCACATGCAAGGAAGGGAACTCCATCAATTCTCAAAAGTCCTGTACCACAAAATGTGCCTCGGCTGAACAATGCTGAACAAGGTCATCGGTTAATCGCTCAAAAAGTGGGTGGCATTTGGTCATGAAGAGTCTTCAGAAAAAGTGTCAAAGAGATTCCAATGTGGGTTTGCAGCACTGGTGACCAAAAGAACAGCAGAGAGAGAGAGAGAGGGAAATCCAACAGGCAATGTTTAACAGGCGCCCTTCCTGATAAGCGCTCACTGTCTGCCAGGCCGTGATGGCTACAAACCCAACTATGCCTCATTGACCTGCCGCTTGGGTAAGTTCTTTCCACACACCTACATTTGTGAGCCGGAGGGCTGCCCCTTGCCGGTGGTCAAAAACCGTTTGACCAGTGGATGCAGTGGACTTCCCCATCCCGCCGTGGTCACCTCCGGGCAGAGTTGTTCCGCGCAATGTGACAATGGCTACACACCCTCTGTGGCTAGCCTGAAGTGCTTTGCTGGCAAGCTCACTCCAGACACTTGGACTCCGATGTGAGGGAAAAAAGTGCATCCGTAGTGGCATCCGTATGAGTCAGTGAGGTGTTTCATTACAAGAACAATACTGTATGTTTCTGGTGCTTTTGCTTGGGAATCTTGCCTGGCTTTGGATGGGTGTAACTGATCCGAACAAGAGGGTAAAAGGATGATAGAGAGAGAAGGATTGAGTGAGATAGTGCAAAGGGGAGTGATATCAGTGACATCCTGAAGCTAGCTAGATACAAGAGCAGCTGACTGCTGGGCTGAGGCGACCTTTGTTTGCAACGAGGATCCTTGTGATGCACCTGGTGGCATCCAGAACGGTGCAACTGAGAGCTGTAAAGAGGGCAAAGAGATTGCGTCTGGCGACAAATGCACAAGTCAATGTGCTGCAGGCTATGTGCCCTCCACTGCGCAACTTTCCTGTAGCCTTGGGAAGCTTACACCCAGTTTTTACTCCTGCAATCCTGAACCATGCACCTTGCCACAGTTCGCGAATAGGAAAGGCAATGGTTGCAAGAGCAAGAGTGGTCAGACGGTGGCATCGGGAGAAACCTGCACTGCAGAATGTGCTGCTGGCTACACACCTAACGAGCTAAGCCTGAAATGCTATGCCGGAGTGCTGACACCCGCAACCTTCAGCTGCTTTCCAGACCCATGCCCTTTGCCATCAATCAGCAAGGCTCAGGGCAATGGATGCTCAAACCTCGGCGGGAGCATGATCGACTCGGGTCTCAAGTGCGAGGCAAAGATTACGAAAAAGAACAAAATATGCTGGCCTTCAACCTACTAGTGATGGCCTCCAACCTGATAGCAATGGCCTCCAACCTATTAGCGATGGCCTCCAACCTAATAGCAATGCCTACTAGCGATGGCCTCCAACCTGATAGCAATGGCCTCCAACCTATTAGCGATGACCTCCAACCTAATAGCAATGCCTACTAGCGATGGCCTCCAACCTGATTTCAATGGCCTCCCACCTATTAGCGATGGCCTCCAACCTCATTGCTCAGCTACTAGCGATGGCCTCCAACCTAATAGATCTTAGAATGCGTTGGTCTTATGTTCAAGATTCAGCAGTCAATTTATGTCACTGCTACCGCAATCATGTTCAACAATTTTGCTGAGTAAGTGCACCCATTACAGCGTATTACAGATAACTACCGGCAGCTGCAGTGCAGGCCGCATGCCAAACTGGCTATACTCCATCGGTGAAAGTTCTGGCCTGCCAAGCGAGCATTTTGACTCCAGATACCTTCACCTGCAATCCGAACGGCTGCACTCTGCCCAAAGTACAAAACCAGGCCACAGAAGACCTCGAGTTTGGGCGAGATCTCAATGTCTCATCACTTGGGCGAAACGATGTCGCATCACGCCACACGTGACTCGCACCTCGCGTAACTCGCCAGGCGGGAAATGGCTGTCAGGGCATCAAAGGCAGCTCCATCGGCTCGGGGAAAACCTGCAAGACGCAGTGTGCCGCAGGCGCACGCTTCGACAGACGGGGGTGTCCCGCTTTCGCGGTTTGCAGAGGACAGACAAGGGACACCCCGGTTTCGACCTGGCATTACCTGGGTCTTTTTTCCGCGCCCCCAAAGCATATGCCATAGATTCAAAGCTGGCTCTGGAAAAAGATGGATCATAGTGACATCACAGACTTTGAGCAGATCCAGGCGATGTGTGACTTGTCGTGCCAGGCTTTACACCTGACGTGGAATCATTGAGCTGCTTTGCAGAGGAGTTGACCCCAAGCACCTTCACATGTGACCTGGCTTAGGTGGTCCATTTGATTTTATCCGCCGAAACTCGAATCGAGCAATCTTGGGGGCCTGAGCATCACATGTGCATCCTTCTGGCCTTCAGCAGATCGTTGATTCTGAGAAGCTCGCCATCCATCGGCTTGGAGCAGCTGAAGCTATTTTCAGTGCTGCTCCAGGGTGTTGAGACATGTCACCTGCGGTTTTGTTGTGAGAATTGCTCATAGGCCCCTTGCATGTGCTTGCATGAAGATCTCGTGCTTGAAAGATCAAGCTGACTGAGAGGAATGATAAGACTGTAAAAGGATGATAAGACTGCATCATTCCTTCTTAGGCAATCCAACCCCTTGCACCCTGCCAGCTGTCGCGAACGCGTGACTGAGCAGCAGCTAGTGGCAGCAAACATGCCCTTGAGGATGGTCAACGCATGTAAACGCAGACGAAGCCACTGTAGGTCTATTTAGGTCTGCTAGGCGCCAAGCATCATTTAGGAGAGGTTCGGATAGTCGCAACTGTCCTTTCACCCGCTTTTACCTTTAGCAATGCCTAGGCAGGGCAATGGTTGCAAAGGCAAAGTGGGTACCGTGATCGCTTCGGGCGCCACCTGCAAGACTGCCTGCATGCCTGGCTATGAAGCCTCTGAAGCAGCACGGCAAAATAGTGAGTTATGATAAGCTATTATCGCTATTATGATACATTGCATCTTGGACCGGGGCAGAACAATGAAAAGAACGAATTGCCCTTTCAAGCGTTGTGGGCCTGGAGCAAACTTGGACTGACAGAGGTATGCCATTGACTCACCGAGGACAAGCTGGAATGCTCCGCCGGGAGTTTGTCACCAGCCACCTTCGCGTGTGCAGAGTTGAAGTGTCGGGCACCGACAGGCACCGGGTCAAGCGGATGGAACGAGCGGGTCGGTCTAAATTGGGGGAGGTCGGCTGTAAGAGTGACAACGCTCTTTGTAAGGCCTTGGCTCTGGAGTTCAACGTCCCTGCCATACTTGTGGGAACAAGAAAGGTGTCTTTATCATGACCATTTTCTTTGAGCCATTGCCAATGATGTTGTCATCACTTCCTGCCTGCTGCAGGCATTCCACATGCACCACATGTGGGCTGTGCAGAGGGCAGAACGATCAAAGGTGGCAAGACTTGCACGCCACGCTGCAATGCACCTGCTGCAGCATTGGGCGCTTGTGATCAATGCACGTTTAAAGAGGAAACGGAGGAACCAAGCTGCAAACCACTACAAATAGGTACGCTTGCTCCTGTATATATATATATATACAGCGTTGGATGAGGATAATCTCGTTGGACCACCCAGTCATAAACAACTTTTGAAAATAATGCACGCATTGGTTCGTAGTATTTGGAAACCGAATCTCAGCCAAGTCTGGCTACTCACCATCGGCAGCTTCGCTGGTTGCTCGGCATGAAGAGGTCAAGATTGACTCAGATTCAGTCAATTGAAGAGAGAGGAGTTCGAGTTCACGACATGTCTTCCAACCTTTGGCCTTTGGCTTTTTCCTTGGAGGCTTGCAAGCAAGGAGTTTTTGAGCCCACCTCCTATGGCTGTCTTCCAGGCTCTTGCTTCTTGTCAGCCAACTTGTCAGCAGCTTCCACACATTCACCATGATGGTATTCATGGGTCATTTCCTGATCATGTGTACAGCGTCCATCTTGACAGCTGCCTTTGGCCTTGCATGAGCAGGTTCTTTTTATTACACCGGTTGAGCTGAGGCAGTATACCTCAAATTTCGAATGCTGCGAGCCCCAAGTGCGAGCAGGTGCAATTCAGAGCTCTCTTGCTTTGTGTCTGAGATTTTTAGACCTGAGTCCGGGATGGGTGAAGTCAAAACTTGATGTCTCAAAACATCTTGAAACACCTCTGGAGCAATCAGGGAATGTCTTCTAATCAAGATTCTAATCCAACATTTCTAGGAGACTCCTTGTCCTATTGTAGGCTGGGTAGAGCAATGCGCATTTGGAAAGAGGAGAGTCAAGAGGCCCTTGGGAAACCAAATGCGGCCCATGCGGCTGTTGTCAGGGCGACACAATTAAGCACGGCCAAAAGTGCACGCCAAAATGTCCTTAGCTTAGTTATGACTGCAGAAGATGTTTGTGGCATTGTGGGATATTGCTTTTGCAAGGTCTGAGCAGTTTCGCACACGACTTTTCAAGCGAAACAGCTCGCAAGACCTGGAATGCTTTTGCCAAAAGCAGCTTGTTTAGCAACCAAGGCAAGCCAAACTATATTCCGTCAAATTCGGGCTTGACATGCACGGCTGGCAATTTGGAACCTACAACCTTTACATGCAAGGCGGTTAACGGACTGCTTTGCCATGTCGTCCGACGGTCGAGAGATACATCTCGGGAGGAACCCCAACCCATTGCCACTACAACCAAGAGTGCATTCTGTTTGGACTGTTTGTTGAAGCAGCTAGCTACAAACATGAAGCATATTTTGTTGGTCCTACGGAAGCACGTTGCAGGCTCCATGCGCATCTCCTAATGCGCTTTTGGCTGCATATTGGATATCGTTGAACCTTGCCACATCAATGCCATCTTTGCCGTTTGGACCTTTCTACTGCTTGCAGTGACCAACCATGCCAGGCTGTACATTCGAAGCCTTTACTTGGCTAAGGTAGCAAATGCAGCCCAGCCCTGCAAAGAGGGCAACCTCATTGAGCATGGCAAATCATGCAGTTCACAGTGTGACGTGCTGCCCTTAGGTGTTCGTTCCGGGCTGTTCTTGGTAATAGGAACGTCTCAAGTGTTTCACAGCACGAAGTTTCGAATGGTTTGGGTCCGGAGAGAGGGAGAGGGGATAAGGGGGGAGTGAAGAACGGGCAGATAGACCCCACATAAGCTAGGCTGCTTTGGAGTGTAAAATGTTTCGCCAGCCTGGGCTACGCTTGCCCCAAGGTAGGGTTTTCAGCCACTAGCGGCTCCCTGGAGTGCAATGACGGCCAGCTGTGTCTTGGCGCATTGAGGGAGAAGTCTGCCACAAAAGTCATTTTGGTCACAAAAAAGCTGGAGGAATGAGGAAATGCTGTGATCTTTGACCATCTTTGAGCTTCAGGGGCGGCGCGATCACCTGCCAGTCGCTTGGCTGAGAACCACCGAACATGAGGCCAATGCCACCTCGCTACTTGCAAGATGCCTGCCAGATTCTGACTATGACGTGAGAGATTTGAGAAGTGAGGATTGACATGCCGGAATCGGGTTCCAACTTTTACAACTGCTGGTCTGGTGATCCACATTTCACCTGTCGCCTCTTGGCAGCGACTGGACGACTCAAGCGACTGGTCGCGAGATCGGTCGACGCTTCAGGAGGCGGCCGGAGAAGCGACCCCTTGGTGCCGGGGACGCATTGGGTGCTGAAGCAGTGACGTGGCCGCCCTTGGGGTTTTTGATTTTACCGCAAGATGAGGAGAGATCGGATTTTTTTTATCAACTATGAATACATTCATGATAATCATCGGCTTCTCCCATGTTGGAGATGTTCTTTATTTGTCTTAGACCTTTGTTTGCTTGGGAATTGCCCAGCCTCCGAGCCACCCAGGGCATGTCCCAACAGCCCGAACTTCATGTGGGTCCAGGGCGTTTATGGTCCTGTCAGCCCCTCCGGGGCGATGGCCACGGCGTTTGGTGGGATGTTCTTGGGCAAGAACATCCTGACGATCCGAAGCTTGACTATGACTATGTCAGGTGTTTTGATGTGTGGAAGATTTTTGGATCACCATGCCAATCCGTCGTGATGGACACCTGAGACATCGCCAGGAGCGGCAGCCAGGCCAAATTGGATTGTAAAGTGGAATGACAAGAACCTCGACAAAGCCTGGAAGGCAGAGCTCCTTTCGTGTGAAAACGCTACCAGCAAACGCAACTGGGTGCGTTCGTTCTTTTCCGGCTGCTCTCTCCACCCGGAAGACGTATTACTACTAGCTTCTTGTTACTACTAGTAAGGCCAGGAGCCCCTAGTAGCTTCTTGTTACTACTAGTAAGGCACTTGTTACTAATCCCGAGTACCTATTAATAAACACTCCCCAATTAAAAAAAAACCACGTCCGAACCCCTAAATTCGGTTTATATTTGGTTTTAAATTGCCGCCCTTTCAAACCGCTACTAAACTACCAACATGGTCGATTTTGGGGGTAGTTTTTTTTTATTAGGTTCCCCAAAACTCCACCATGACACGCCGCGCTTACACCTTCCCTCAATGGCACGGACTCACGCAAACGCACTTGCCACCGAGGTCATGCAACACCGCATGGCACAGCGACATCACCTTTCGAAAGCTTTAGCTGTTAGTCTACTGAAGAATCACTATTCTAATGATGGTTTTTGTAGGGGAAAAGGAAGACCCTTCGATCTGGCGGTTTTTTGCATTTTTGATATGAGTTTAATAAAGGATTTTATATAAAATGTTCCTGGATTACTTTTTGGTTTTGAAACTCTTTCCAGGTGAGCCTATTTTGAACCCCCCGATTTCAGGGACCCCCTATTTAAAAAAATGCGACCGAGGTTTTTTTAATAGGGGGGGGGGGGGCGTGTTTATTATTAGGGGGACGGGATTAGTAGCGTGGCACTTGTGACTTCCGGGTGTTCGCCTCGTCATCGGCAAACGTTCAACGTCACGGGACCGCAGTTGAAGTCTGGCCGACGGCGGCGAAGGCGACGCGGCAAGGCCCGGACGACGAACGACGCGGAACGACGGTCATCGGTCATCGGCGGGGGTCGACGGTCCCGGGGGTCGACCGCGTTTGGGCATCGGCATCTCATGGCACGGGGATCCACATCAATCCATGGTGATCTCATGCGCTTTACTGTATGCCGCAGCCCGAATCGAACTGTTTGATTTGCTTTCTCTTCGAGGCCAAGTATGTCTATGACCTATATGGCACTGAGCTCTCTGTCTATATGAACGGGAACAAAATTGAGGCTGGACTTGGCCGCTTGGCAATGCTTGGCATGTAAGCAGCTGTACGGTGCGGTTTTGCGGTTTTTGTGCAGTTCAATTCTTACAAGTTACTCTATATCACTCAACGTGACTACGTTGTTGGTGTTGTTCTTCAAGGATTGTCCACGATCATGTTGGCATCTCGTCCTGTTTCGTCCAGGTTACGGGGTCACATACAAAGCACACCGTCACCGATGGAACCGCCAGAATTGGAAGGTGGGGAGGGTAGAGAAGTGCTGGCTGAACAAGCATGATCATGTCATATCATTTTCCAGAGTGGCACTGCTTTTGCTTGCTTCAGATCAGTGGGCTCTACTACACAGACACCCTGATGCAAATTTGATTTTTTTGCTTTTGCCACGCATTTCTTGTTTTCATGGGTCCTTGTCCCGGCTTCAGCAAAGAATCGAGAAAAATACCGGACTGTCAGAATTAAACTACGTATATAAAGCTAAAACGATTACAGGATGTATAGGTTAAATCCAGCTTTGAATGCCTTTGCACCACAGGCAACGGCAGGCACGAACAAATTGCGCTTTCTCACCCTCACATTTTCCAATTCCGCAGTGTGCCCGCCAATAAGGATTATTACCAGTCCAACCAGTTGTGGCCTGCTCCTTGGGGCGTTGGGGCGTGGGCGGCTTTGACCCGCCATGTCATTCAATGGGTTTTTTTACCCAGCTCGTATGTTGAATCCGAAGTAAGTGCCAGTTGAACTCTCTCTCGGTCTATCACTCAAGCTGTCTCTGAGGACGAAATTGTCTCTCAGCTTGCAATTTAGTCTCAGCTTTCAGCTTGAAAGCTTCATCTCAGCTTTCTATACATGATCTTTCCTCCGTATAGTATGCCATGCAGCCATGCCGTTTAGTATGGAACCACGACGGGTCAGGTACGACCAGTCGGACCTGTCAGGTGCAAAGACGGCAGCTACGGTGGTGAATCGATCGACCTGCCGCACCCCCGGCACCTCTACCGGCCCGCGGGCGACGATCGCATGGCACCTCGGATTTGCGGGTCTTCTTCGGAAGGGGAAGCATGCTGGGCAGCTGCCGAGTCGCTGCGTCGCTGCGTCGCTAAAAAAATCATGAAATGGATGAGAGATGATATGAGATGATGATTATGAAGAGAAGCACAACAAGTAAATGATTGCTCGTAGGAAAGTCCTGAGATGCTTACAGTAAATGAGTTTTTATGGGCGTTCTTCTTTATTTGCGGAGTGAAGGATGCTAAAGAGAAGGCATAATATATGGCAATTCTTGATGCAGGGGGTGTCCTCTTCAGTGCATAGAATTCATGCCAAAATCTCAGGTGAGCACAGCCTATGACTTGTTCCAGCAGACCAGGGCCACAATAGCAACTCGACTGGGGGGCATTTTTTGGAGCCAAAAATCCGACACTTAAAGGTCATCTAATCAGGTGAGCTGATGGTCTTAGTGTTTTGTTTCTGCTGTATGACATCTCAAGTTGCAGCATACAACAACAACAACAACAACAACAAAACGTATGTGTGCTTTAAATATTGCTAGTGTTCAGATATGTTCACATGGAGCTGAGGAAACCAAGTTGAATACCATGACCACCGCAGCAAGCTTGCTGCCGGGCTGCACCACACGGGCAAGCTCGACTCAATTGGTCCATCGTTGTGCCCCTGAGGTTCGCGGAAGAGGAAGTCATGGAGGCCAACATGTCTTTGGTGAAGAAAGCGCAGTTGCTGGGCGAAGATTATCGCTTACATGCTACAATCGTGCCACTACTCGAGACGACGGATCCCTACGCATCTTCACGTCAAGTTCGCCCGGCTTGAGCCGCTTGCGTGCCTTCAAACTTTGGCTGAGGCCCTGCACCGGAGCGGCCTTGGAGGACCGGCTTTTGGGGACCGGTTCTTGCAGGAATCCATCAACAAATGATTGCAGAAGTTGACATCGTATTTCTAAAAGTACTTTGTAATAATGTTCTGAATATGTTTTCACATGGTTCAGACTCAGACCATGAAAATGACCATGCGCGAATCCATGCGCGTTCTGCCCAAGGCAGCAGAAAAATCCTGCGCGGTGCTGAAGAAAGAGACCACAGAGGCTCGATAACCTCGTTGCGTCGCGCAGGTTCGCTTGAAAAACGTCGAAGCAATTTTATTTGAGTCCGGTGGTATCATGTGGTATCCTGCTGCCATTTAAATTTTGCTGCATCCGTTTGCCTCGTTTTGAGGAAGAGAAGGAGGAAATTGAAGAGGATGAAGAAGCGAAGGACAATCAGGTGCGACGTAAGCAACGCACAACTTGTATGCAAAACCACACGGTGCCCGTTTGATTTGCAGGAAGCGACCTACCAGCCTTTACCTGAGACAGGGTCACTGCGCGAATCTTCAATGTTTCATATTTGGCAGGCCTCATGCTCATACGATTGCAATGAAGAGCGATCCCGGATACTTCTGAGGGCCTGCGTGGCAGATGCTTGCATGACTGCCAGCAACGATTTTGGAGCAGCCGGTCAAGATGTGGAGGAACACGGGGCACTCCAAGCTTGTGGGGGAGGGACAAAGGTTGCCTACCCCGTGCAATCGAAGGATGCAGCTGAAACCGCTCCAATCATGCTTTACCTTTAAATAACTGTTAGCCTCAATGCAGCCTTAAACCAATTGGTGTCAGGAAGAGAGCGAAATGCAGGCCGCCTTGAAGCACAAGAAGGCGACCCTGAAGTGGGCGGGACAAGAAGACGGCACGAATTTAAGCTTCCTTTTGTCATCAGAGTCCAGACTCATCACCAGTCATTTACTAAAAGGTTGTGTCAAGGAGTCAAGCAGAGTGGTCAATCAGCCATTGAGAAACACAGGAGTTTCGAGTGGTGGCAGAAAACGGAGCCTGCTCAGAAGGACCGAGCTTTGTCATTGAACGCATTGTAGAATATTGTAGACCCAAAGATAGCGAAAGACCACTGGCCCTGAGAAGTCTTCGTAGAGTTGCTCTGAAGACCACCTGTGTTCCCTAAGTGCCTTTGGGCCTGGCGATGTGCCAATTCTTAGCACTTTAGAATTTAGAAGTTCAAGACATGTCGAAACATAGCTCAGCTATGTGGCCATCAAGCCATCAGCTTTCCAGGATGGCTGGCCACTGATCCAAACGAGAACATCCTTTCAGATGAAGAGAAGTTGCTTGTCCCAGATAGGCCACGTGTTTGCCGTGACAAGCCGGAACATGTGGACATGCAGCAGTCCGGGGTTAACATGGACAATGTGGACATCATGCCCCTAGTAGCGTCCTTTGCTCCTAGTAGCGATGCCAGGAGGCCTCCTGCATTCCTTTGTCCCTTGTGCGTTTTAGTTGACACCGCACAGCGCAAGCTGAGGACTCGGGCACAGCAGAAGAAGAATAATTGCACCGTTGCCTGCAAACTTTGTCGACCAGAGCGTGTCTTGGTTTAGCTTGTTACTAGTAACAATGCCAGGAGCCCCTAGTAGCGTTCTTGCTCCTAGTAGTAAGGCCAGGAGCCCCGAACGTAGCTTCTTGTTTGTTTGTGAGTTGTCGTGCTTGCATCTTTCTCTTTGAGCTCTTAGATCATGTCCCCCGATGATCTCCACGAGCCGGTCGAGCCAAGGACGACGCTACCTCGCGGGACCGTTGGTGCTTCACAATGAGACGCGAGATGCTTGCATTGATCAGCGCTTGGCCATGCCAAAGAGCCAAGAGGAGTTTGGGGTTTTGGTGTGTGAGAAGCTGAAGACTGCAAAGACATGCAGCCAAGTCCTACTGAGACCACATCAGCCCGCTGCTGACAAACGCTTGGTCACAGAATCAAGTCCTGGGGGCAGCAACCCCGTGCACCCAAACTCTAGGGCAACAACTTCCTGCACTGCAGACCTCCTCAGGTGCCCCCTCTCACCTCAAACCAAATCCAGTCGACTAGAAACACCGAAAGGGGCTAAAATCAGCCTTCCCAGGCACACCCCCCGCTTGAACGCTAAGAGATCCCCTTACTTGCCGAGGGCAATTCTCAGTCTTCTCGCATGTGTGGAACCGGAGGACAAGGAGCGATTGTGGACTCTTCAAAAGCAGCATTGCACTGCGGACAAAGCCTGGGTAGGCTTGCGGGTGCATGGGGGGCGGGCCCACCGTTGCTCAGGATTCCGCAACCTTTTTGCCCGTATTCCTCCTATGCCATAGCTTTTTGGACATGCTTTGTGATAGACATGTCGTCACACGATTCAAGCAGCAAAGTTGGTTGCAGATGTTTTCGCTACATGTTTCATGTTCAAGTGCCTACACGATATACCTATATAAATATATACAGTAATCCGGTCCCCCTAATAATAAACACGCCCCCCCCCTATTAAAAAAACCTCGGTCGCATTTTTTCTAATAGGGGGTCCCTGAAATCGGGGGGTCCAAAATAGGTCACCTGGGAAGAGCTTCAAAACCAAAAAGTAAATCAGTAAAATTTTATATAAATCCTTTATTAAACTCGTATCAAAAATGCAAAAAAGCTCCAGATCGAAGGGTCTTCCTTTTCCCCTATACAAAAACCTTCATTAGAATAGTGATTCTTCAGTAGACTAACAGCTAAAGCTTTCGAAAGGTGATGTCGCTGTGCCATGCGGTGTTGCATGACCTCGGTGGCAAGTGCGTTTGCGTGAGTCCGTGCCATTGGGGGAAGGAAAGCCTGCTGGTGTAAGCGCGGCGTGTCATGGTGGATAGACAGGGCCCCTACTAGGAGGCCCCTAGGAGTAAGGCCCCTACTAGGGGCTCCTGGCCTCGCTACTAGGAGAGCCAGCGGAGAGTCTGCAACGCGACATGGTCGATTTTGAGGGTGTATTGGGACCTATTTTGAGGGAGTTTTGGGGAACCTAATTTAAAAAACGACCACCAAAATCGACCATGTTGGTAGTTTAGTAGCGGCTTGAAAGGGCGGCAATTTAAAACCAAAGATAAACCGAATTTAGGGGTTCGGATGTGGTGTTTTTTTAATTGGGGAGTGTTTATTAATAGGTATTTATATATATCATATGTTTATATAGACCACATTTGGCTCTTGCATCGCAATGCTCCTTGCATGTTGTCAGCCTACATGTGATCCATGCATGCGAGGTGCAAGATACACCGGAGCGCCTTGTTTGCAGAAGAGCCGGCATCTTTATGATCCGCAGTTTTCCCGTGCAAGTGCTTCAAGTGCACCTCTATTTCAGACCCCTTGACTGAGCAGATTCTTGCCGAGATAGGGAAGAAGAGAAGTGAGGCTCCTGAATCTTCAAACCCAGAAGACGCAATGGATTGGGTGTGTTCAAAAGGCCAAGCCATCGCGAGCGACGGGCTGAGGGCGGATGGAAGTGGGATGATGAATCCGCTGTCGCTGGTATCCAGGCTTCTGGCACTGAAGGTGTCGAACTCAAAGTGCTTTTCATCAGTCATCCCGGAGGAGTATTTTTCGGAGATGTCGGCAAGCTACAGGATACTTCTGCTGTTTTAACTTTGCTTGGGCTTACTAGATTTAAATACAAGTAGCCCTCCCAAGGACCTGATGAACCCATGTCACACATATGAGCGTCGTTCAAAAACCCACCTCTTCCTTGTTAGTAATCGAATTTCAAAGGCTGATTTCGAGTGTGCTCTCACTGCAGTCGCGAAAGGTTCGCGAAGGTCCTGCGAAAGGTCTGCGCAAGTCATGTTGGTGACCTGGCCACGCTGCAAGAACAATTGCTCTTCAGACTTCCGATTGCTTTTTCCCGGGTCGGGAAAAAGCAAGTTGGAAATCTGAACCATTTTGCTTTTTCCCGGGCCGGGAAAAAGCAAATTGGAAGTCTGAGCAAACTGGCCTGACTGAGCCGTCTCTTGTTCATGGAGGGTTGCGCCCAACCAAAAACACACCAAAATGAAAATGGCTTGGTTGGAAGTCTTGACCATTTTGCTTTTTCCCAGCCCGGGAAAAAGCAAATTGAAAGGCTAGACATGTCTAGACCATTTTGCTTTTTCCCGGGCCGGGAAAAAGCAAATTGGAAGCCTTTGAAAGTTTAAGTCAAATTGGGAACAACCAGCTTGTATCAGGTTTACCAACTAAAATCAAGGAGCTGTGGCCAGAAGCAGAAGGTTGTGGGCTCGAATCTCTCCAGTTGCAAATTATTTCTCCGGAGTGAGCCACTGGGAATCTTTTTTCCCAGCTAGCAACTTGGAAGTCGAGCCTTTTGCTTTTGGCTGGCCCGGGAAAAAGCAAATGGAAGTCTGAACCATTTTGCTTTTTCCCGGGTTGGGGAAAAAGCAAATTCGAAGTCTGAACCATTTTGCTTTTTCCCGGGTTGGAGAAAAAGCAAATTCGAAGTCTGAACCATTGGAAGTCTGAGCAAACTGGCCTGACTGAGCCGTCTCTTGTTCATGGAGGGTTGCGCCCAACCAAAAACACACCAAAATGAAAATGGCTTGGTTGGAAGTCTTGACCATTTTGCTTTTTCCCAGCCCGGGAAAAAGCAAATTGAAAGGCTAGACATGTCTAGACCATTTTGCTTTTTCCCGGGCCGGGAAAAAGCAAATTGGAAGCCTTTGAAAGTTTAAGTCAAATTGGGAACAACCAGCTTGTATCAGGTTTACCAACTAAAATCAAGGAGCTGTGGCCAGAAGCAGAAGGTTGTGGGCTCGAATCTCCCCAGTTGCAAATTGCAGAAGGTTGTGGGCTCGAATCTCCCCAGTTGCAAATTATTTCTCCGGAGTGAGCCACTGGGAATCTTTTTCCCAGCTAGCAACTTGGAAGTCGAGCCTTTTGTTGCTTTTGGCTGGCCCGGGAAAAAGCAAATGGAAGTCTGAACCATTTTGCTTTTTCCCGGCCCGGGAAAAAGCAAATTCAAAGTCTGAACAATTTTTCTTCTTCCCGGCCCGGGAAAAAGCAAATTGGAAGTCTGAACAAGTTTGCTTTTTCCCCGCCCGGGAAAAAGCAAATTGGAAGTCTGAACCAATTTGCTTTTTCCCGAGTCTTGACCATTTTGCTTTTTCCCGCCCCGGGAAAAAGCAAATTTGAAGTCTGGACAATTTTGCTTTTTGCCGGCCCGGGAAAAAGCAAATTGAAAGTCTGAGCCTTTTTGCTTTTGCCAGGCCCCGGAAAAAGCAAATTGGAAGTCTGAACCATTGTGCTTTTTCCCGGCCCGGGAAAAAGCAAATTGGAAGTCTGAGCCGTTTGCTTTTTCCGGGCCCGGGAAAAAGCAAATTGTATGAACCATTTTGCTTTTTCCCGGCCCGGGAAAAAGCAAATTGAAAGTCTGAACCATTTTGCTTTTTCCAGGCCCGCGAAAAAGCAAATTGGAAGTCTGAGCCGTTTGCTTTTTCCAGGCCCGAGAAAAAGCAAATTGGAAGATTGGAAGTCTGAGCCTTTTGCTTTTTCCAGGCCCGGGAAAAAGCAAATTGGAAATCTGAACCATTTTGCTTTTTCCCTGCCTGGGAAAAAGCAAATTGGAAGTCTGAGCCGTTTGCTTTTTCCAGGCCCGGAAAAAGCAAATTGGTGTCTGAACCGTTTTGCTTTTTCCCGGCCCGGGAAAAAGCAAATGGAAGTCTGAGCCTTTTGCTTTTTCCCGGCCCGGTAAAAAGCAAATTGGAAGTCTGAACCATTTTGCTTTTTCCCGGCCCGGGAAAATGCAAATTGGAACTCTGAGCCTTTTGCTTTTTCCCGGCCCGGTAAAAAGCAAATTGGAAGTCTGAACCATTTTGCTTTTTCCCGGCCCGGAAAAAAGCAAATTGGAAGTCTGAACCATTTTGCTTTTTCCCGGCCCGGGAAAAAGCAAATTGGAAGTCTGAGCCTTTTGCTTTTTCCCGGCCCGGGAAAAAGCAAATTGGAAGTCTGGACCATTTTGCTTTTTGCCGGCCCGGGAAAAAGCAAGTTGGAAGTCTGAACCATTTTGCTTTTTCCCGGCCTGGGAAAAAGCAAATTGGAAGTCTGAGCCTTTTGCTTTTTCCCGGGCCCAGGAAAAAGCAAATTGGAAGTCTGATACATTTCCAATTGCCTTTTCCCGACCCTTGGAAAATTCTTTGTCGTGGGAAACTGCGCCAGTATGGCGAAAGGTTCGCATTGTGGACGCGAAAGACGACAGGGCCAAACCCCGCCCCACCTCAGACTTCCAATTTGCTTTTTCCAGGGCTGGCTCAGACTTCCAAT